CGGAACTATAACATTCTGTGAAGCCTTGCACCAGCTAAATATCCTTTTTTTAACTAACAGAAATCTTAATTAATTTCAATAAAAATCTATCCGTCATATGATCCTCTTGCTAAATCGTTTTATTCAGAAATGTTTCAATAAAACGGCAGTTGTACTTAATACGGTAATGTATGGCATCAGTCACATTGAATAATGACAGAAATCTTGTTGCTAGATTGGTTTACACAATTTTACTGCCTTTGCGCACAACAAGCTATAATAGGCTTCTTTTATATAATGGGTGTTCCTTAAGTTGTTTCTTTAAAATACAAATCTAAAAATTCGTCGCAATTCTGATTGAAATTCGTCAAAACACCTCTTTTTCTTAATTTGTTTACTGGGCCTTTATAAAATCGTCAAACTACGAGATATTGTTTTGACAAACATTTTTATCGTAATTGGTTTTCCGTCTTTAGAAATAAAATAACCAGATGACACAATAATACCCTGATTTGTTCTCGCCACTCAAACTTCAAGGTAGATATTAAATGCACAAACTTAAAAACGAAGGTAACTTTCAGCACGACGATACGTATCCCCTATGTAATCCGACCTCAGATTAATTTCCTTGAGAGTCACTTTTACCCTAAAGGGGCCGGGTTATTTTGACCATCTCTCAGCCGGGGGGGGGGATTCCGCCCCCCCCCTCCTAAGATCTCGGCCATCGAGTGACGAAACTTTTTGAAACTCGGCACATGCATAGAGCAACTGTTCCTAAACATACCCAATAATTTTCATGACTATAGGTCAAAGGGTTTTGGAATTATGGCTAATTAATTATTCATTTGTACGAATGGCAATTCTGCTCTGTGTACACGACGTATACGCGAAAATTCAGTTTTCACGGCGCTTAGCGCCGGAAGATTTTTCGCTACGCGGCAACCCGTGGTCCGATTTTTATGTTTTTAATTTCAAAAGATGCGCACAGCTCAATGCTAAAAAGTCATAACAGCTCGGGTCGCGAAAACATTTTTTTAGAGGCTATAACGGAAAATGTTGAGGGGGCGGGGGTTTGGCCTTTACAGGGTGAGTAAAAAAAAGAAGGAAACTCAAACGGTCGGACGATTTTTGAATGAAGTTCTGTATATGGCACTTTCAAAATGTAGGATATGAAAGCCGAACTCATGAGCTATCTTTTAGTAAAAGAATGATTAAATCATTCATGCACTTGTCAAATTACGGAATTTTTTAACACAAACACCGTTTGAATGTTCTGTCCACGGATCGAGTATTCTTTCAGCAAAAACTTTGTGAATTGTTTTCCTTTTTGGCTGAAAGAACATTCATCTTTTTTGTGTAATCCGTGGACAGAACTTTAAAACGGTGTTTGTGTTCAAAATTTCGTGACCGATAATATGCTTTCTCAACTATTGTTTACTTATTACAAATTTTGTTAGCCATATTCGAGGGTGATCCATATTCGAATTGTATGTATATATTTTGGTACAAAAGGATTGTACAAAAACATAAATTACATATTTTTTTCAATCCTGAATGTTATGGTTTAAGCAAGTGCAAAATACAAAATTTCGCAACAGTTTACGAGATGCTCACTTTTCTACCTGAAAATGGCGTCGTAGCAGTACTCTCATTCGCTGAATATTATAATATAGGGAACTAATGAAAATCCAATTTTTCATTTGATAACAGCCACAAGTAATGACAGTCTTGCATACTTACAACAATATCTGTTTATTTGCAAATGAGTATAACAACTGACTTTTTGTTAATTCTTAAATCGGATAGGTGTTTTATCTGTTCTAAACATGCAGGTGTCAAAGTTTAAAATCCATTTTCTACAAACAAGTATTTTCTTCCTTAGATTTAAACGGCGTTTTTATACATAGATAACACAAAAAACAATATCGGAATTAACAAACGATTTGGCTCTAGAATGTTGGCATTTTCAACATGACTTTAATTAATGTTATTGATTGTATTATTTCAGGTGACACGTAGGTACAATCAAATTCAGCAAATAAGAGCCCTTTATACATTTGGTCTCATATATGATTTTTTTTGTTTTGTTTTAACAACTTTATACAATACAAATTATTAACATGTAAACACATCTTACGCATGAACAGAAGGAATGTACATCTCTATTTCCACTGTCCATTATCTTGTATACTTTCAATAATTTTCAATACACTTTTTGCCATTGTAAGCAGGGAAGTCAGTAATTGGATATATTCTTTCCTTTCTGATGGGGATAACATTAACGCAAAGGCTTGAGTCCAAGTCTTTGGAAAGCTTTCGGTCACAAATTTTCCAAAGAAATATCCCGAAATTTTGAAAGCAATAGATACCAAGAAAGGCAGCATTAAGGGTACTCGGTACATTGCGAATTGGCTGGGTTATTTTAACCCAAGAAAGGGTGAAAACTGCAACTACCCAAAACTAGGTTTTTCTATAACCAATTGTGACGTGCCATATCGTACATGAGGAATAAACCCCACCATTGACTGTTCATGTTACGTACATCCTGTTAAAGCGCCAATCATTGGCTTTCCATTGATACCTAATTTCTGAAGCATAAAATATTTTTGAACTTAAATTATGCCAAAGATATGCCACAGGAACTTCAACAGTGTCCCACCTAAATTCTCCAACCTCATATTGAAAAGAAAAAAACGGTATTGAAAAAAATAAATGTGTCGAATTCGCGCCGCCCACGGCAGTTGAAAACTTTCTTCAGTTTCCAACTTTTGGGAGTATTGTTTTTCAACAAAAATGCAGAGTGTGAATCTTGGATACCGTGACTACTCAAAAATTAGAAGAAAACATATTGGTTTTGACATGGTTTGTCTAGTTCATACGACTTCAGGCAATGATTACTCAAAACATGGTTTTTGGAACATTCCCCATTTGCCCCAGTAGGTTTCAATTCTTCACCGACACCACGAAGTGACCTTAACCCCCGCGAAGTGGAAAATGTATGTTTCGAGATACAAGCGATTTAAGTTGGTGATGTTTTGAAACGGTGATCTGAACATTGTATGATTTTTATAGCAAACAAATAATATTAATGAGTTATCAACTAATCAACCTTAAGGTCACTTTGTAAAAACTCTAAAATCAGAATACGTGCTGTTCGAGTTTTCACGAAGTGACGCTAACCATGTGTATTAGCTTTTGGGTTAGCGCTACTTCGTGATTACCTCCAGATGTGAGTCGCGCGTATCACGTGACATTTGTGTTACTTTGTGAAAACGCAAAACCCGTTTTTGACGCGTAGTGTGCAGGCAAGGGCGGATCCAGGGGGGGGGGGGGGGCAAAGGGGGCCATCCCCCCAAAAAAAAATTAAATAAAAGTACGAAACCAATTTTTTTCTGGATCTGCCTTGGTGTGCAGGTAGTTTACATGCAAAAGAATGGTAAAGTACACTTCGTGAAAACGCATTTTCCGGTTTTGACCTATTAAGTTGCAAACGTTCATTAATGTTAATTGATGTTTTGACAAAACTAATTAACTATGTGTTTAGTTACTTCTTGAGGTGATAGATTATGTGTAAATAATCACAAATCAGGAAAAAAAATCGAAATCGTAAAATATTGATGTTTGGATGTTAGTGTCACTTCGTGGTGACGGTGACGAATCGTTTGGGCTAGAATTTGTATTAAATTCAACCGAAAGTTGTAGTTATACAAGACCAAATTAAATTTAGTCTTGTGTGACAACAAGTTTTGGTTAAATTCAGCAAAAATTATAACCCAAATATTTGGTTATAGAACAACTTTAGTTTGGGTAGTTGCAGTTCTTACTATTTTTTGGGCAAAATTAATCCAGGGAATCAGACAAACACAGATTTCAAATATGAGAACCCATGGCAATTTTAGTGCCAAGAAAGGAAACGTACTGGTTGTTTCATTTTAGTTGTTAGAAATGAGGACAGAAATGTCATATTTTAGGCTTTGTATGGTGGAGTATTAGTATCGTTTTGGTTTGTGGTAACAACATGTGGTAATAACTACGGTACTGCCCAGTAGATATTTAGTTCTGAAAAGATCTCGTCCTGCTTATTATCAACTTTCACTAAGTAGTTTTAGTTCTAATAAGAACAATCCTGCCTTAAGTTCTAAAAGAACTTGTCTTTGGTCTCAACGCTTCGACTAGCCTGCTCTAGTCATCGTCATGAGACTGAGGAGAGCTGGAGATGCTGGTCCTTAAGCAGGTTGTGTTAGGATTGGAAGTGCTTGTGTTGGTAGATTCTGATTGGTTGTCTGTTGGGCATTGTGTTGGAGTGGCATGCCACGGAGTTGTGTCCTCGCTCAGGTGTATCATTTGGCTGTGAGCCATGAGTGTTGCAACGTGGTATTAGTGAATGCCATATGTTGCTTATGAAATATAGTCTTCTTTGTAATAAAATCTATACGTTCAATGATCGATGACCCCTTAGGGGAACACCAACTCCAACGAAGGAACAAAAGCCAATGCCTCAAATGCGTTACTTTGAAAACTGTTGTCATTTAAATGGAATTCAACCACATGACCGAGAGATGACATTAAACGGAACACAGCCCCGATATCACTGTTTTGTAGACCACACTCAGATAAATCCAGTGTGCGAAGAGAGGGAAGAGGGTGGATGTTGACTTGCGACAAACCGTGGAAATCGTTGCCTTTCAGAACAACACTCTTTGTGTTGCCTGCTGATGAAAGAAGAGAGAAAAGTGGCTCAATGTCAGTGTTTGTCAGACCACATTTATAGAGATATAGTTCAGACAGGAAGGGCACAGCATTCACCTCGATAGGCTGCAAACCGTGTAGATTATTACCAGTCAAAGCAACCTTCATTATGTTGCCTGCTGCTGAAAGGAGAACAAAAAGCGGTTCAATATCGCTTGCTGTCAGATTGCATTCCTGAAGTTGTAGTTCAGTCAGGGAGGGAACAGCTGTGATCTTTGAAGGCTGCAAACCGTGTAAATTGTTTGCTATCAGAATACACTTCTTTACGCTGCCTACCGCTGAAAGGAGAGAAAACAATGGATCAATGTCAGTGTTTGTCAGACCACACTGATGGAGTTGTAGATTAGAAAGGGAGAGAACAGCTGTTACATGGATATGCTGCAAACCGTGTAGATTGTTCCCTCTCAGAAATAGTTTCTTTATGCTGCCTGCTGATGAAACAAGCGAGAAAAGTGACTCAATGTCACTTTGTGTCAGACAACATTCATAGATATGTAGTGAAGACAGCGAGGGAACAGCAGTTACCTTAATGGGCTGCAAGCCGTGAAGATTGTTTTCTGTCAAAGTGACTGACTTTATGCTGCCTGCTGCTGAAAGGAGAATAAATAGTGACTCAATGTCACTTTTTGTCAGATAACATTCATGTAGTTGAAGTTCTGTCAGGGAGGAAACAGCTGTGATTTTTGAAGGCTTCAAACCGTGTAGGTTGTTTGCTAGCAAAACGCATTTCTTTATGCTACCAGCTGATGTAAGTAGAAAAAAAAATGGATCAATGTCAGAGTTTGCCAGACCACACCGATCGAGTTGTAGCACAGATAGCGAAGGAACAGCAGTTACCTTAATGGATTGCAAACCCTGTAGATTGCTTCCTGTCAGAACAATTGTCTTTATGCTGCCTGCTGATGAAATGAGAAAACACAGTGGCTCAATGTCACTTTTTGTAAGATAACATTCATGTAGTTGTAGTTCAGTCAGAGAGGGAACAGCTGTGACCTTTGAAGGTTGCAAACCATGTAAATTGTTTGCTATCAGAATACATTTCTTTACGCTGCCTACCGCTGAAAGGAGAGAAAAGAACTGTTCAATGTCAGTGTTTGTCATACCACACTGTTCGACTTGTAGCACAGACAGGGAGGGAACAGCTGTTACATTCATAAGCCGTAAACGGTGTAGATTGTTTCCTCTCAGAAAAAGTGTCTTTATGCTGCCTGCCGCTGCCACGAGAGAGAAAAGTGACTTAATGTCTTTGTGTGTAAGACCACACTCATAGAGATGTAGTGAAGACAGAGAGGGAACAGCAGTTACCTCAATGGGCTGCAAACCGTGTATATTGTTTCCTGACAAAGTAACTGTCTTAATGCTTCCAGCTGCTGAAAGGAGAATAAAAAGAGGATCAATATCACTTTTTGTCAGATTACATTCGTATAGTTGTATTGCTCTAAGGGAGGGAACAGCTGCGATCTTTGCAACCTGCAAACCGTGTAAATTGTTTGCTAACAGAATGCATTCTTTTATGCTGCCTACTGCTGTGAGGAGAGAGAAAAATGGATCAATGTCAGTGCTTGTCAGACCACACTGTTCAACTTGTAGCACAGACAGGGAGGGAATAGCTGTTACATGCATAGGCCGCATACCTTGAAGATTGTTTCCTCTCAGAAAAAGTGTATTTACGTGGCCTGCTGATGAAATCAGAGAGAAAAGTGGCTCAATGTCACTGTGTGTCAGACCAGACTCATAGAGATGAAGTGAGGACAGAGAAGGAACGGCAGTTACCCCAATAGGCTGCAAACCGTGTAGATTGTTTTTTGTCAAAGTAACTGACTTTATGTTGCCTGCTGCTGAAAGCAGAATAAAAAGTGGTTCAATGTCACTTTTTGTCAGATTACATTCATTGAGTTGAAGTGCAGTCAGGAAGGGAACAGCTGTGATCTCTGCAGGCTGCAAACCATGTAAATTGTTTGCTACCAGAATACATTTCTTTATGCTGCCTACTTCTGTAAGGAGAGAGAAAAATGGATCAATGTCAGTGTTTGTCAGACCACACTGTTCAACTTGTAGCACAGATAGGGAGAGAACAGCTGTTACATGCATATGCTGCAAACCGTGTAGATTGTTTCCAATCAGAAAAAGTTTATTTATGCTGCCTGCCGCTGACAGAAGAAAGAAAAGTGGCTCGATGTCTTTGTGTGTCAGGCCACACTCATAGAGATGTAGTGAAGACAGAGAAGGAACAGCAGTTACCTTTGTAGGCTGCAAACCGTGTAGATTGTTTTCTGTCAAAGCAACCGTCCTTATGCTGCCTGCTGCTGAAAGGAGCACAAAAAGCGGCGCTATATCACTTTCAGTAAGATTACATTCATGTAGTTGTAGTTCAGTCAGGGAGGGAACAGCTGTGTTTTTTTCTGTCTGCAAACCGTGTAAATTGTTTGCTGTCAGAATACATTTCTTTATGCTGCCTGCTGCTTTTAGTAGAGACAAAATTGGATCAATATCAGTGTTTGTCAGACCGCACTTTTCGAGGTGTATTTCCGACAGGGAGGAAACAGCTGATACATTTATAGGCCGCAAACCGTGTATACTGTTTTCGCTCAGAAAAAGTGTCTTTATGCTGCCTGCCGCTGACAGGAGAGAGAAGAGTGCCTCAATGTCAGTATTTGTTAGACCACACTGATGGAGTCGTATTGTAGTCAGGGAGGGAACAGCTTTTGCATTCACAGGCCGCAAACCTTGCAGATTGTCTCTGCTCAGAAAAAGTGTCTTTATGCTGCCTGAAGCTGACAGGAGCGAAAAAAGGGACTCGATGTCACTTTTTGCCAGACCACACTGATCGAGTTCTAGTGCGGACAGAGAAGGAACATCAGTTATATTATCAGACTTCAAGCCGTGTAGATTGTTCCCTTTCAGAAAAAGTCCTTTTATGCTGCCTGCCGCTGACAAGAGAAAAAAGAGCGACTTAATATCACTTTTTGTAAGATTACATTCATGAAGATGTAGTTCAGTCAGAGAGGAAACAGCTGTGAACTTTGCAGGCTGCAAACCATGTAAATTGTTTGCCATCAGAATACATTTCTTCACGCTGCCTACTGCTGAAAGGAGAGAAAACAATGCGTTAATGTCAGTTTTTGTCAGACCACACTGACCAAGATGTAGCACAGAAAGAGAGGGAACAGCTGCTACGTTTATTGGCTGCAAATCGTGTAAATTGTTCCCTCTCAGAACAAGTGTCTCTATGCTGCCTGCTGCTGACAGAAGAGAGAAGAGTGGCTCGATGTCATTGTGTGTCAGACCACACTCATAGAGATGTAGTGAAGACAGCGAAGGAACAGCAGTTACCTCAATAGGCTGCAAACCGTGTAGATCGGTTTCTGTCAAAACAACTGTATTTATGTTGCCTGCTGCTGAAAGGAGAATAAATAATGGTTCGATGTCACTCTTTGTCAGACCACTGTCGAAAACAACAAATTGTTGCAGGCATGGAAGTACTTCAATGTTTTGTTTAGACACTGTATCAAGCGAAATGGTGCCACTTGTTCCTAATAACATTATTTGTGTGTTGTTTTTTGATAACACCTCAAACAATTTTACAAGGTTCCAATCACAGTAACGTATATGTAAGGTCTTTAAGTATCTTAGCGTTTCTGTCGAGTTATCCACAAAGCTATCCCAGCTGATTCTTGTGAGTTCAAGTATCAGCGACGGCTTACATTGTATGTGTGTCATTATATTTTCTAACAGTATGAAATCAGCCAAACCTAAACATGCAGCACTAACTATTTCTATGTCTACGTTGTGCAGAGTTTTATGTTTGGACCCGACTTCAAAGAAATAATGCGTAGCCACGAGAAGTTCACCTCGGAGTTCATATGGAAAGTCAACCTTTCCAGTCTCAACAAAGCATTTCACAAGTGATTCTGACTGAGCCTCAAATAGGAGTAACATCAGAATTTTATGCAAGGACTTGTTCATTTTATTTCCCCTCAGGAGTTCTTCAATGCACCTTAAGATCTTCTCGGCGACGTTCTTGTCCAGCCCACAGCAGAATATCAGAACGTATTCCAATGTTTCCACATCACCGTGCAATATACGAGACAAGTATTGGTCAAAGGTGCTTTCGTCAGTCCTTGACAAATCTACTAGAAATGCCGCCGCACAGTATTCCTGGAAAGTCTTGTGCAGGAACGAAAAGTAAGAAACTGTCTCCAGACGTCGAAATATTTTTCTTTTTGACAACAAGCCAACATCAGAACCTTTCTTAAAAATATGTAGGTCCTTTGAATCGATCTTATCCTCACTGAAATGAAGCATCTCCCCATTTGGATCTAACAGACCCTCAAGAGCTATCATACCAAGTTTTGATACATCTGTTTGGGTGTCAGAAACTTGCTTCTCTGTCTCTTTACTGGTCTTATGCTGATAAAGCAGATGCATGTTATCCTGAAAAAGGCTAGTTATTTGATCAGGCAATTTCTCTTCATGTGCCCATGTGTGGCACATCAGCCACAAAAATAGAGGTATCTCTGCTAAACTACGAAGCGTTTCGGATCCGTTCACCCTTGCTAGAAAAAGGTTTTGATCATCTGTTTTAAAATTTGTCAAGTATTTCCTCACGTATTTTGCCCTGTATTCCTCGTCAAAACCGACAATGTTAATTTTGGTGAAGTGTTCATGCATACTCAACAGCTGTTCATTTGCCGTCTTCTGTCGGCTCGTAACTATAACCTTGCACGACTTGAGTGTTTTAAACGAAACTACATCGTTCAAGCCGATTCCGTTTTTGCACTGTGCAACTTTTAATCTTTGAAAAGAAATCTCATCAGCGCCATCCAAAAGAATTAATACGCGCTCTGGGTTTTCAATGATGTATTTTTCTAGGCCTTCAAATCTCTCCCTTAGTTTCCTGTCTGTAATTATTTGAGAGAAAATGGCGTCTATGATGTCAAATGTCTCACCCATTTGATTGACCTCGACCACAAAGACAAGCTCGTACCTACCTAGGACTGATGTGCGCTCAGGTTGTTGTTGTTTTTCAGTTTGATCCCCCCTTTTTAGATCAGCCCAATCGTATGCAATCTTTTTAAGAAGTGTTGTTTTCCCCAAACCCGCTTCAGCTATGACTAATAATCGATTTCCTTTGAGCTTAAGCATGTCTTCATAGGAGTCAAGGGGAATTTTTTGGACTGGAATCCCTTTGTCCATATAAGCTTGTGATCTAAGGGGATCGGAAGTACCTCTTTTCGAAGCTTTGGAGTGCATCGATTTGCTGCCTGTTTCTAACTGCATCTTTGTCTGTGATGTGGAGGCGGGAGTGGGAATGTTGGTCTCGTGCAGTAGCAGTGGCTTGACGTAGATGTCATCCATCTCTCTGGACATGTGTCTCTCTTTAGGATGTGTCGTCACTTTCATCGTCTCCCGGTAATGCGCTGCCAATTCTCTTGCACACAGTTTTACCTCGAAAGAAGTTTCTGCAACGTCTGTATAGTGAAACAACATCAATATGGGAAACAGCTATGTAATTAGCTATCGCAGATGAATAAAAACGTCCCTACATTTAAAAGGACAACTCCAAATTCTTGTCGATTTTAAACCGTGCCAAAGGCAACCACCACAATCTGTTCAGACCATCTGTTCAGACCATAAGCAGACATCATATACAACCGGCATGCTAACTTGAGTGCTTAAATGTTTAAATAGGGAAGTTAGAACATTGGATTCTCCATACCAATATGTGCGCCAGTGTTGGTAAAGAATTCATCGATTCGTGATATCTGTTTAGCCACTACTCGAACCGCAAGCTATGAATATACATACACTGTATGTACAAACGAAGCACGAACAACGAGTTCACGCGGCTATATGCAATAAGTTGGCGAAGAGTAAACGCGTTCGGACAGTAGCTATGTGTTTTCTTTATTTTGTAGCTGGATTTGCAGCCACGACCTCATAATCTGCAATGACAGATAAGATTTTCATTTTTGGGGTGGACGCTCAATGTGTGGCTGCAATCCAGCCAAAACGTAATAACAAAATACAAGCCATGAACAGACCAACGCTGTCTCAAGGCTTTTGTTCTTCCCCAGCTGAATTGCATATTGTGCGTATAGACGCATTACACTCAAGTGACTTCAAAACTAACACAGTGCTGTTATCTAAATCTGATAGCTGACAATTGGCTGTATATCTCAGTTGGTAGAGCACCGGAACTGTAATCCGGAGTTTGCAGGTTCAAACCCTACTCCAGTCAATTTCTTTGTTTACGTATAACATAAAATAAAAAAACAACACACTGACCTTTTCGGTTAGCTCTTATATCTGGTGTTTGCAATGCTAAGTCTACACGGCCGATTTCTTTCAGAGCGTCTCTCAGCTTCTCAGGAGCGTCTGCGGGGATGTCCTGTTTCTTCCACCATGCATCTAACATCCTGAAGCTCTGCTGTTTTACGTTTCCTTGGCGGTTTACTCTGAATGTGTCGACCTCACTGACCAAAAATCCCAAAGTGAAGGCAAGGTCCTCCCATTGTGGTCCAAGCCCGCTTGACAATTTTAAGAAGTATTTGTTTCTCGACGGTTCTTCTTCTGGAATGCAAAATCAAATAAAATCGTGAACCATCGCAGGGCGCCTTAAGGAGCTTAACACGAAAGTGGACTCCTCATCACTCAAGGGTGAGGTTAATCATGATCAGACGTCAGCGCATTGACTGATCATGCTTATGTAGCCGGGTACTTTCATACACATGCACACATTTTAAGAGAAACTAAACCCCTCTCTGTGATTTCAATAGGCGCTGTTTCTACAGATTAAAATATTGTTTAGAGAAATTTGCAAAAGGGGTGATGACGAAATTGGGGCGACATTTATATAATAAAAGTCAGTTTTGAAAAGTCCAATACGGATTTTTGAGGGCGGCCTTTTGTCCAATATAGTTACCTAATAGTCCACCGCCTAGCAAGCCGCCAGCGCGAAGCTCGATGTTCTGGTCTTGTTGTATCCCATGGTCGCGAATGGAGAGAAGGTCACAAAGCTGCAAACCAATGTTAACGAAATTCCATGTTATTTCTAGAGACAAAACTGTGGCACACAGTTTACCCATTGGACTGGCATGAAATTTCCAAATCGTAACAGTATCAGAGGACCCGAAGGTCTTACTATTTTTTGGCCAGAAATTTACCCCTGTTTTTGATACTCATGTGAGTCATGTCACAATTACATAGGATGAAGTATAACACTTAAAGGGAAAATCACTGTCTAAATTCCCCTACATTTTCATCCTGCCTTCCGTCAACAGTTTTTAAACTGAAGTAATGCAATTAAAAAAAGTTGGAGATATTTTTATTGAATTTGCATTTAACTCTTAGATAAATTTAATTTTAAAAAAGTAATAAAGATATGGTAATAATAGAAGCAGCACCTGAAAGTTTCTCCCAATGTAAAGGTGTTGATTTTCAGGCTGGATGCCACTCTCTCTTTCCACCAAGGCCTTTAAATCAGATACCGATGTCTCTGGATCCACTTGCAGGCAAAGTGTCTTTGGTAAGAGGAGACCTCGGACAAAAACCTGCAACTTCTGTCTCACATCGACGGGACTGCAAGTTGAAAATACAAAAAAAAATCTCGTGACTGCGATGAAGCTACACGACTCTGACAATTGTTTTTTTTTTAATTCAGCTCATTTTTGCTGCGTTTCTATTGTTAATTATTTTTTCTTCCGCCGGTTGTTAACAAGGAAACGAAGTCAGATATTCACCTCGAATAACAAAGGCTGCTTAGTTTTAGGCCTACGTGCAGTTGATTTGGATGGGAGAAATAAGAATCAAATCTACACTTAGGAATAGTTATAATTATAAATGGTCATAATTGCTTTATCGTATTTCGTGTATTCAAATTGGCAATGGGCTTGAGATACAGATTGAAACCTAATTGGAACTGGTCAACCAAATGAGGTTAAACACAAAGATGCAAATGCGAATTTATTAAAAACAAAATATGAAAATGAATTCAGGTAAGAATTTCTATTTGGTCTATGTTGAAAACCACTACTCCTGGTACGTCAGGAGAAAAATATCATGTATGATAGGAATGTAGTAAAAAGTTGGTCCATTTAGATTTTGAGAGCAATACCTTTTCACTCCAGCTTTACTGATTGTTTCTTCTGTTGTTGAAGTTTCGCCGTGCTCAGAATGGTTTACTGACGCATCTCTCCGTGACTGGACGGATGCTCCCTCTTCATCAGAATGGAGTCTTGGCGTGGCTTTAACAGGAAAGGCGGCCATGAATGCCGCCTTACGACTTGGCTTTACCCTCCTCTTCGTGCCGATGAGTTTGCCGAGTGAGTGGTTGTACTCCTCGGCTAAGATCCTAGCTTTACCCCGCCGACCAGGGCTGTTTTCCTGCATCTTTGTGATTGAAGTCGGGCGTCAGATGATGATGATCAACTAATCTGCAAGTAGAATAACCGCACTCACGTAGGTAATCATATTTTGAAATACTGGAATTATTAACACATTTGGCATGATCTCTGAACAATTATTCCAAAAGCATTTAGAAGAATAGACTAATAAGAAGAAATTATTTAGATCAGGAGATGAATCCACTTTCAGTTGCCAGCTGAAGGCATACATTTTCAGAGCATAGCATGCTATCTTTAGGCGATTCACATAATTAAAGATACGGATTCAATGGGGGGAACGCCAGAATGTAGTGATTTTTTTTCATTCTATTTTGTTATATTTTTTTCACCTAGTCTTGTTTGTACTGTCTAACTCATTCAGTGACTGACTAGCTGACTGACAACCTGAAAATAATGGTGCATGTAAACCCCGCCATTTTAAGACAAACATTCCATTCACACGACAATATCAGACTTGTATGACTCGTGACTCGGACTCGGACTCGAGTCCGACTCGAGTCACATTTTTAGTGACTCGGACTCGGACTCGAGTCACTTTGACATACGACTCGGACTCGGACTCGAGGCTACGGACTGGGACTTGGACTCGAACTGACTTGTGAATCGACGGAAATTACCGCACTGCACACGCACACATACATAGAAGTCTAACAAAAGATATTTGAAACACCTGAACTTTAAATGCGTAAGTTGGGCCAGTACCAGTTTTGTCTGAATTGCCTTTGTAACTGTTTTTGCAAATGAGCTCCTCCTTTTCAGAGAAAATTCCAGAGAAAAGCTGTGGGGAAAATGGAAATTTACAGGACCTGAAATGTACGTATTTCTAATACTATATCAAAGGTGACTCTGAATCTCTGAATTCCATAAAATGTACGTTTTTCCAATATAATGTTAGAGGTGACTCGTGACTCGGACTTGGACTGGAACTTTGTGACTCGTGACTCGGACTCGGACTCGACCTGGAGGATTCGGGACTCGGACTTGGACTCGAGAAATGTGACTCGGACTCGGACTTAGACTTGATGTTTCATGACTCGAATACAAGTCTGGACAATATAGGGTTGTGTTCTTATGTTGAAACAATTAAATAGTACAGACACGTTCACTTCATCAAAACTTCAATGAAAGAGTTCAATTAAATATAGATAAATATTGCACACTCTGCTTCAAAATGGTCAAATCACTAACAGAAAGTGATTTGGTTTTAGACTAGGACTATACTGATGTTTTTGCTTCACATAAAGAGGCACAAAATGGGTTTCGTGGCATTGCCGTTATTCAAACATATCTTTGGATTCACAAAAGCAATCTCAATGAAACAAACGGTATACTCAAGCTAAATCTATTACCTCGAAGATGGTGTAAACATCCGCAGTTACTTGTGAATCAGACTTCGTAAACTTTCTCAATTACTGATTGTCACTCGTGAATTAGACTGGGCACCTGATTTTGAAGTAGGCCTACTGGTTACACGGAGCTTTCTCACTGACTGACTGTCACTAAGTCTGTGAATTCCTTCCGCTGAATTTTGATCAGTTAAGGAAGCATACGGTTCATCACACATCTGACTTGCTAAACTGTCTCGTTGACTGACTGTCGCTTGTGATGGTTGTCACTTGTGAATTACTTTATTACAAAATGTCTGCGCACGCGAGTAGGGTGCTATGTTCAAGGCCATAACAATTTACCATGTGAAAGAAAAAACAGCGAATCTTATCAATAGTTTTTCATGATACTCTTACTCGCCCTCTTCAAAAATAAACGCCAAGAAAACAAAATGAACTTCTCAGCACACAAAAAAGCTTTGTTTGTTCAAAAAAAAGGAGGAAAACTTGATTTTCATTTCCTCATAAAATATGCACCTGCCCCGAATACACGTTTTTATTTCATATGATAATGCAATATATACAAAGTGGCTCAATCAATACATATTTTTGTCTGAGTTAGCTTGTTGCACGATCATTAAATTTGTACCCCAGGGACCAAACATGGAGTCCTCATTTTTGTGGTGAGTAAATAAACGAAAATAAAATGTTCGTCGATTCTCGCGCTAATTTTCCATTGGGACCTGCCTGAGGAGGATTATTGGCATTGATTTAGGGAATGAAAGTGCGATAACCTACGGAAGCGTTAAAGTCATAATTATGACTTATATTTCATAATTATGACTTATTATTAAGTCAAATTTATGACTTATATGTTATAATAATTCCTTAGTATTAAGTCGTAATTATGAGGTATCCTAAATCGTAATTACGACTTAATACTAAGTCGTAATTATAAAATATAAGTCATAATTATGACTTAATAATAAGTCATTATTATTAGTTATAAATCCTAACCATGACTTAATACTAAGTCATAAATATGATATAAAAGTCATAATTATGATTTGAAAATTACTAAATCGTAATTGCGGGATATATATATATATCATAATTATGACATAAATACTAAATTATTATTATAAGATATAAGTCATAACTATGACGTAATAATAAGTCAGAATTATGAGATAACTTATGACTGATTTTTTTTATTTTGTTTTTGTTTTTATGGCCCTTCAACACTTCCGTAATAACCAGGTCTTCACTGAGTGATAATGACCGGGTTGGGTGATGGTCGCCATTACCAGCGACCGTCACCCAACCCGATCATTATCACGCATTGAAGACCGGGTCCCCAATTTGTTCTTTCCATTATAACAGATAAATTCAACAAAATAAACCGTTAAAATGCTCCAAATGTTGTGACTTAATTTTCGGCGATATTTCAAGACTATTTGTGTTCATGTTCAGGGGCAATATTTTATGCAGTTTTACTCTCACCCTAGCCTGCCAAGGTTGGACGACCTGTGTCTTTATTGCATTACGACTGACGTCTAGGGTATACAATGCTGCTGCCATTGCGAACACAATTGCAACAACAAACATTTCATATTTTTAGGGGACGGAGAAAGTGTCATTTCGTTTACATATTTCTTGTGTCCACTGAATTACGAAGATGCTCGGCTTAGAAAAGAAAATATGTCCGTGGACAACTTGTTTACCGAAAATGCATCGCAGACACAAAGCCTAAGCAACCCATTGAAATGGGGTCCAAACATTTTTGTCATTTTCTCTCAATTTCTTTGTCCCATTTGTCTTCAGAAAAGTCTCTGAAATCGTCATAGGAATTACTTTTTAAAAATGTCCTTCCGTGCGCACGAGTTCCTAGGAAATCAGAAGGGCTCCTTTCCCCACGAGTGTCAAGAAATAACCGTGTACTTCAAGGTACCTTCAAATTTTGAGCATTTGTGATGCAATTGGGTCCGAGGTAGCACTATTTAGCCAGGCTGTACCATACCGTCAATGGGAGCGCTATTCAAATCCGACCATTTTTAACCATATATCACAGAATATTGTGCATATACCCCCTAACCAAGCTGGCTCTGTCCGTATTAGGTACAAAGGCGGACATTATTAACAGTACAAAAAATGTTGGGTGTAAGAGCGGGGAGGGGGGGTGTTTTTGCATATTGTCCCCCATGAATATCTTTGGCGGAAAAAAGTTTTTGGACAGAGCTGGAGGGGGGGGGGGGGGTTACACGGATCCGCGCATGCTTTATAAATTAAAAAAACCCGTTAAAATTACGACTTTAAAAGGGACATTTGTATTATCAATATTGTATATTATGCACACCCCCGTTTAACGAATTGAAGCTCTCCTCCCCGGTACAGCTGTTGAAATTATTATTCATCAACTGCACTGTCGCCAAAGTGCATATGCACACTGGGTCATAATGGCTTTGGAACGAATTATTCAACATTTGAAATGTATTACTTGATAACTTGTCGTGGGCCCATTTTTTTTCGTTCGATGACTCATTTTAAAGCTCATATTGTAATGCTCGAAATTTTCAATTCAACGCCACGCCCAAAAAAGCACGTGCAGGATGAGTAAAAAAGCGTAACTCAAACCCACAAATTATACATCATATTCTAAAAAATATGTAGCTCCAAAAATTTTAATGTCTGGAAAGCCAATTGTATAAGCTTCTTTTAGACGTAAGAGTTACTGAAATTGCTCAATCCGTTCAAAAAATATAAACCATTTGAACACATTGACCGTAAAACCTCTTTCGTCCAAAAATGCAAACGGATTGAGCAATATTTTTCTTTTTTCATCTTAAAGTAGATTATGAAATTTTCTTTAAGGTCATTATTATTTTGGTGCTATATGTTTGGTGCCGCTCTAAGAAATAAAGTAAACATATTGCACATGACTTGTACGTTCAAGTTTCAATTTGGGGATTTAAGGGGATGGTATTTTTTACGTGTTGGCTAAAATACTCATCTATAATTTTAAATGAGTTAAATAATGACAAATTTATTAAAAGCGATAACTCAACCTTCAATAAATAAAAATGTTGAAAAACATTAGGAATAAAAAGCAACATACTATTTGGACCTTTGGTTTATTTTCCTGTCAGTTCTGTTTATCATTACATTGTATTGAGCATACCCAAAACAACTTCTGAATGCAAATTAAAATTAATTAGAAGTCAATGACTTAAGATTACAAGATTGCCAGAGTCAGTGCATTCAAAGATGAATAAGTAAATAAGTGATTTAACAAGTCGTTTTAGTAACAACATTTTGGAGTAAATTTTTGTTAGGTCACATCGGGATCAACGGCACTGGCCTTCATCCAAACTGACCAAATTAACTCGCAGTGACGTACGAAATTATATTTTTCGAGAGCAGTATCCTGACCATGAGCTGAAACTAAGGGAGGGATTTGATGGGGTGAGCAAGCATTTGTTTTTATCGGATATCAACAATTCAGCCATTTTACGCCATTTGAAAGTGCATTAATCAATTCCGACGTAAAGCTATCGGTATTTGTTTTTAGTCTATATTGAAACGGAATCTAGAGTTATATAGGCCTAATCCAAGTATGGTTACGAGTACTCTCATTCACGTTTATCTACAATTAATGTTGGGCAAACCTCTGAAATCGTGTTGTTGAAAAAACAAATTGGTCT